CACCCATGAGCATTTGGACTTACTGTGCTCCGCCAGCCCCTGGATCATGTCGAACTTATGGATCTCTTTGGCATAGTACTCTGATTCGGTGTTTTCCTGAGTGCAGCCTTCCTCCTTCTCCCCTTGCATCTCTTCCAGCAGCTCCCGGGTGCTGTTATACAGGGCTAAGACTTGATAGGGGACGTGGGTCATCACCGATGGCTCAGGGGGGCTGGTGAGTCTGAGCTTGCTCAAGATCTGTCCCCTAATGGCTTCCACCCTCTTCTTCTTGATGTGGCCAAAGTCCAAGGTGGTGCAAGTGGACAGAGAGAGGCTGACCGTGGCAAGGTTCAGCAGGGCCAGGACCACCAGAGCCCTTTGCAAGTGCATCTTCATGTGCAAGCCGGGAAGAGAGGCCAGGGGGCGGTGAGTCTTGGCGAGGAGGAGACCCCGGCAGACGTGCAGAAAGAGGGAGAAAAACCAGGCAGCCTCCCCAGATCCCAAAGACTGAGGCTTGGCAACAGGGTGCATGAACTCACTGCACGGCGAGAGCTTCAGGACTTCCAGGAAGCGCTGGCAGCCCTGAGGACGAAGAAGCAGACTGTGTGCCTTGTAGTGCTGGGATTCTTGTCCATGTGTCTAAACAGGTTTTGCTGGGCTCTGACTCCCAGCAGCCCAGGTGGAGGGCAAGCAGAGGGCTGGGAGGGGTGGCCAGGCAGCTGGGAGTGGAAAGGGAGCTGGAGTTTCTCCTTAGGTAAAAATAAATAGAGCAGATATCTGATATTGCCAAACACCGTTTGGCAATGGGGAGAAAGTGGGTATTTTAAAGAAGGTGCAGAAGGACCATGGCTAGGTCCCAAAATCAAAATCCTCGCCTTGCCCTGAAGGAGAATAAAAAAAGAGAATGGAAAAGAAAAGGAAAAAAGCTTTTTTAAAAAAATCGAATCACCAGTGAGTAGGTGGGGAGAGGCAGGTCTGGGCAGCTGCTGGCCTGGCTAAAGGTGGGGGCAGTACAGGACACACTTGTCTCTCGGGCACTCCATTCATGCTTTCCCTTTTGTTTACACTTCCTCAGGGGTTTCTAAATGACTTTGTTCACGCTGCCTCCCGTCTTCATTGGCTGGGATGTGGGGTTATGTGCAACTGGAGCGCAGGCAGGCCAGGCCTCTGGAGAAGGGCCCCAATAATCCACTCGAACGCCCACGGTCACCAGCGCCTCAGCTTGTCTTCTCCCTCGGCCATGGCTTCTATCCCTTGCTTCGTTTTTTAAAAAACCAAAAGGAAAAGAAAATAGAAGCCAGTTCACTGCAGCCTGCTCCGGAAAGCGGTTATTCCTTCGTTCCCATGCGTGTCTTCTCCTAGCTCTGCCTCTCTCGCTCCTTGCCTTGAACTTGGCTCTCTGCTTCCCTCCCTTTCTCTCCTTCTCGCTGCTCTCCCTCTCTCACACACACACATGCACACACACTGCTTTCTCTATTTCCCTGCTGAAATTTTATACCTCCCTCCCATGACGTCTCGGGCCTGGGGTGGGGGAGGGAGCGAGGGAGGGACCAGCGCACGCAGCCTCTTTTGCTGCACGATTTTTAATGTTTTAAACAGGCACAGGAAAAGCCGAGCCCGTTTGAAAAATACTTTGCGAGCCCTCTCATTCGACGTGGTAACTGAACTTTTTTCCCCTCTTGGAGTCACTCCGGCTACACGTTGGCTGTTTTTCTGGAAAGTTACTCGGCGAGCCCCCTCCCGCCCGCCCGCCCGCTGCCCCGGCCCCTCCGCTCCAGCCAGCTGTCAGTCCGCGCCGTTCGGCCGCGCTCTGTCCTTCCCGGTCCCGTCCCAGGTCACCCCCGCTCCGGCCGGGCACCCGACAGGGTCCCCCAGGACGGCGGTGCCATCCTCGGTCGGGGCGACGCCCAGCCTGCGAGCGGGGCTGGAGGGTGGGACTCGGCGCCGCGGCGATCCTGGCCGCGGTTCTTCATTGACAAGCCCGGAGTCGGCGGGATGCTGGCTGGAGCTTGGAGCCGCTCCAGGGGCTGCGAAAAATGGCGTTTTCCGGAAGATCGAGGGTGCCCTCTGGCGAGGCCTGGCCGCCAGTGAAGGAGGCTCGGCGGCCGGGAGCGGGGAGGCGGGAGGGCCCGGCCGGGGGCTAGGGGAGGGGAGAGAGCGAGGAAAGCAAACTGGGCGCCTTGGGGGGTCGCCCTCGTCTCGGCCTCAGTGCATCCGAGCGAGCGCACCTCTCCCTTGCCTGGCCCCCGGCGCGGCGCTGTCCTCCAGATGTTCGCCGCCTCCCTCCCCGCCGAGGGCTCCTCAGAGGTGCGCCAGCGAGCGCAAAGTCAGCAACTGGCTGGAGCCCATTTCCCAGACCGGTGAGGGGAAGTTTGCGCTCCGATCTCGTTGCCCTTCTCAGCCTGAGTTTCTATGTCTTTTCCCAAGAGCAACTTGAAGAAGGCAAAACACATGTATGACCCCCCCCAGCAACAGGACTTGGGTCTGAGTTGGTCACTTTCTAAGAACTAGGGTAGGTCCCCTATCCCACTACCCCCCCATCTGGGCCCTCCAGCCTTCCTGGACCCTTCCTGAGAGTCCTAGCTCCTAGGCCACTATGAAGAAATGTTAATGCATTCCAGGGAGAGTGGTGTTACTGTTGAGGAAACTGAGGCACAGAGAGGTTTTTGTTTTGCTTTGTTTTTAAGGCCAGGTTGCTTGTGAGTGGTGGAGGTGATATTAACGCAAGCTGTCTGGTTTGCATCGTTTTAATTTGCATAACCAAAGAGGAAACACCTAGGTGTAGAAACCTTAAAAGTAACTTCTTTTTTTAAAAAAGCAAAAGGAAAAGCCACATAGCTACTAGGTGTCAGTTTTAGACTTGGGCCAAGCAAGTCCATTGCCAGAGTCTATGCACTTAAGCACTATGCTATAGAGTCTCTGGAATTTGAGAAATACTTTTGATGTTTACTAAGTGTTAAGCACTGTTCTAAACTCTGTGGATATATCAGTGAACAAAACAAACAAACAAAACCTTTGTGTTCAGTTTATATTTTAGACTCAGGGGTAGGACAGTGGGGGAGGCAATAAATACATAAATATGTAAGTTATGTAGTGTGGTAATAGGTATGTGTCAAGGAGAAAAATAAAACAGGGAAGGAGGATAGGGAGTACCTAGGTTGAGGGATGATTAAATTTAAAATACTGTGATTAGGGCCTTTGAGCTAAGGCTTGCTAGATGGGAGAGAAAATTATTAAAGCCCTACCCTTCTGGTATGTAGAGTCCACCTCAACCAAATCAGAACTCTAGAGATGGGACCCTGACATCTGGGTTTTTTAAACACACCTCTAATATGACACAGGTGCCCAGCAAGGTTTAGGAGCCTTACTGCAGGGCATCTCTCTGCCTAGGGCGAGTGCCATTCGCCTTTTGTTTTCAGGAAGTTGGAAGATAGGAGCATGAGGTTCCCGAAAGTGACTGTACAGTTGTAGTGGTGTATAGATGTGAGCTTGCAAGAAGTGGAAAAATCCAGAGATCAAACCCTCCTTCTTCATCTGGTACCAAGGGAGAAGGCAGCAAGGGACTCACTAGAGCCTGTGTCTCAGCTGTCTTAGATTTTTGGCAATGAATGTTTCTTCAGATTAAAATCTTAATAGAATATTCACGCTGAGAAGCAGTTAGTAAAGAACCTTAGAGGCAGTCTCTAAGATAGTACTTTTAGTACAAGGGAGGAAAGTGAGGCAGAAAAAGCACTTTGCCTTGGCTATCCAGTTGCTAGTAGAGCTGGGATATGAAGTCAACTCTTCTAACACCCAGGCCAATGGTCTTGCTGCCCCAAGGCAGGCTAACATTCAATCCTACCCAGTCAACATGAGGGATGATTGTTGAACTGTGTGTTTTACTGGGTATTTAAGAAATGTTTACCACCCAGTTTTAGGGACAGTACTTTCACTTCCAAGTCCAAGTTTACCCTGTGGCCGTCCACACCTTACCCTCAGCAGAGTGAGGATGTTGTTCACTTTTTTAAAAAAGCAAAAGGAAAAGCCACATAGCTTCAGGGCCATTAGCCAATCTTCTGTGGGCCCCAGGGACCCAGTGCCAGGGACCTGATCAGTGGTGACTTGAGAATCTTATATGGAATGAGTCTATGAAAACTGAGTTGGCTGCCCTATTAGGCTGGAAATTTGTGGGACATCTCCCTCTGCCAGCCTAAGAGAATGGCTGATGCCAGCAATCAGTGCCAGAGCAAAATCCATAGTAAAATCTGGTGTCAGAAGGGGCCCTGGCTCTGCCACTTAGCACTCAGGTGATTTTCCTCAAGTCACTTCTTTGCGCCTCACTGCGTTCAGTTTTAAATAGAGCTATTATTGCTACTTCCTGTGTGGGGTTGTTGAGAGTAAATATGATGTTGATCATTTATACTTATGAAAGTCACTACTACTCTGGTATTTGATGTTTTGGTTTAGCCCTTCAATAAATTTATTAAAGACAGAGGTTATATATATTGCATTTTCTGTAATTTATTATAAACCATTTATTACACCTGATCTCACCTGTAAAATGGAAACAATACTTTGCTTTCCATAAAGGTTGTTATGCCCCTCTCTTGAGCACTGGGAAGGCCCTCTGAATGTTGCAAAGATCTATGCAAATGGGAGAGATTGGGGCTGGGGATTTAGCTCAGTGGCAAAAGCACCTGCCTGGCAAGTGCAAGGTCATGAGTTTGATTCCTGGTACCGGAAGAAAAACAAAACAAAACAAAAAAAACAAATGGGAGAGATCAGTATAATTAACAGTAACACTTTGTATTCACAGATGTATTTAAGCAGACCTACAAATGCAGGCAGTTCCAAAGAACTAACGTATTTCATGGTCCCACAGGACAGTCTTAGCGGGTGTTCATATCTGGAGGCTTCTTGTATAAGTCAAGTAAAGCAAACTTAGGAAGAATTTGATTTAAATTGGATGGCGGCACTTATACTCTAGGAATAATGAGGCGGATCCTTTAAATCTTGAGACAGAAGGGCAAAGTCGTCGTCAAGGACGCGGCTGAGGTGCTTGGTTTCCAGGAAGTGACGTCAGGAGGCCTCGGAGATGGACGATGTGCTGGACTTGGGCGAGGAGCGGCGCCGGGGCTCGGCCACCTCCGTGAGGACAGATGTGGGGGGCTTGCGACCCAGGCTCGGCGGGTGGGGAGGACAGCCCCGCCGGCCCGGCTCCCCTGACTGCCTCTGCCCGACCCATTCGGGCGGTGGTGGGGCCGAGCGGCGCGGGGCTGAGGTGGCGAGGAGGCGGTCACTTCCGCTCCGCCCGCGGGGCTGGGCGCGAGGGGCACCGCCGCCCCTTTGCTTTCCCGAAAATCCTCGAAGAGTAGAAAACAGACCTTGTCCTCGTCGGCCCCTGGGATCTGGGAAATTTCGGAGCCTCTGTCCTTTCTTTTGAGCCGCAAAGGCGAACTCCTTCCGAACGGACAGATGTGAGAGACTGGAGCGGCCTCCGGTCCAGAGTCGCACTTGGCACCCATCCTAGCATTCATTTTCTACAAGTTCTTGCAAAAGCCGTTACGTTTTATGCACGGAAGAGAGGCAGCCAGGGACGGCCTTTCTTTCTAATCCCTGCGGGGAGGTGGGCATAACCTCATGTTCACACTTAAAAATCAAGACTCTGATTTATTACATGGGGTAGTGCTTAGGTGCTCAGGCCCTGAGGTCAGATGGAGCATAAAGCTGTTGGTAGGTTTAAAAAAAGTTATTTCTCCGAACCTCGGGGTCTTTATGCCAAGATTGGAGATGTTGCTTGGGATAATGCATATGAAGCATTTCACAGAGTACCTGGCATGTGCTGAGTTATCAGAAGAGGTCAGCTGTTATTGCCTAGAAGGCTGTGGTTCGTCCAAGAATATAGTCAGTAAATAACTAGCTTGACCCAATATCTAAATTCAGTTTTTTTTTTTTTTTTTTACTCCATCGCAACTCCCTTCAGGCCTTTTTAACTTTTAAAATTAGTTAAGATTGCAATCACTAAATGTTTGGACCACAGGGTAAGTGTTTAATTTCTATTCTGAAACTTCTTAAGTGTTTTGAAGTGGCCTGATAGCACTGGATGTCTTCCAAGGTACTAGAGAGGAGCCCCTCTCTGAGGGAGGTAGCAAGGACACAAGCAAATTGGTCTAGAAGAAAGCAGGCTGCTTGACTGAGGAGAAAGTTAGGTCCCCAGAGCTTTGTGATATGAAAACTTTTCTAGTACCTGGTGATAGGAGTGTAGTTCATTTATTCCTGAGGTGGAGATACTGTAGTGACTAAAACATCATGGAGTTTATGGCCTAGTAAGGGAAGATGGACATTAAATAGACTATATTTTTAAAATAGCTAAAATCAGGTGGTAAAGTGGTTTTCTACCTTGTGGATTTATACTAGTCAGAAAGTTTAAAAGCTTGAAATAGTTGGAAGTGATTCAAGAAGTCACCTGTAGGAAGCATTTAGAGACAAGATCATTGAATTTCGTTTTCGGGCAATCATCCTATATAGTATATGTTTTCATATCCCCCAATACTGTGATAAATGCAGGAGTACAACCATTGGTGAAGGGATGGAACTGTGTGCCTTGAGAAGAAAAGCAGTGCCTTGTTATCAGAAGGGTTGTTTCTGTTGTCCTTCAAACCTAAACCACTGGTGTTACAATTAAAACTATGAACCCCATGTAAGAGTTCTTATGCAGCTCTCTGGAAGCACCTCTTTCTGTCTTAGACCACCTTAAAACGAATTTTAGCAGGGCATAGGGAAAAGAACACAAGATTTGAAATCAGAAGAAGACTGCCCTTAGATCTCCGATGTCTGCTGCTTAATCACTTTTGTAGGCCTCAGTTTCCACCTTTGTAAAGTGGTGTAAGTCGCAGGCCTTGTCCATGTCATTGTGAGGGTCAAAATCATATTTAATGAGATGACAGTATGCTTATATCAATGCTGATATTTTTAAAAAGGAACCAACCAAAAACATATTTTTTGACATTCACTAGCATACCTCAGAGTTTGTTTTTGTGTTGGGAAGCATTTGAGACACAGAGTCTGTGCCTCAGGAGGCATTGGAAGATGTCTCCAAATGGTTCATTTGATGGCTCAGAATTTTGAAGTGCTCTCATTTTCAAAGGTGATGTCTCCACATTCTTGTAGTAGATGTCCCGTAGTCTGTAAATGCAAATCCAATTAGTATATTTATCAAAGCGAATGTATTTTTATTTCTCTGTCTCAGTTGCTGTGGAATTTTAGGAATTCTTTCCAGAAGTCTATTTGGTAACTATTTTCAGCTATAAATTTAGGCCTTCCTAAAGTCCTGCTTAAGAATATGGGATCCTTTACAACCCACATCTTTAAGCTGTGGCATGAGGTCTCTTCCCAGTCTAGAACCATTTCTAACTGCATTTCTTTGAGTAGAAAAGTGATTTTGCTTTTGTAATCCTATAGCTATTAAATGAAAACTGTGAATTTCTTATTGTCCTATCAAGTAGAAGTGACTAAAGTTACCTTGCTTGAAAGGTTTGGAACATTTTATATAAATGTATCCAAGTTACTCAAATCATATTCTCTACCATGTCATCCCAAATCCCGTCCTTGCTCACCTCGTAGTGGCTTGCATCGGCTTGTATCCATATAGTATCTTCAATGAACGTCCATCTGTCCTTACAGGGGGCAAAGATGGGTCGCCGAGCTCAAGTGGAGTCTACTCGGGCTGACAACCACTTCAGTGGGAAGAGTTCTTCATTCATTCTGACTGGAGAGGTAAGTGTTAAAAGGAAAAAAGAAATGTTCTTTAAGAGTTAGTGATTCCTTAATGAGCAAGGACTTTGTATTCCATATTTCTTTTGAGTTCCAGCCCTTCCTTGATTTGGGAATTCCCTTCCTGGATCTTATTAGCAACAAATGAAAGAAGAACATTTTTTTCCTTGAGGCCAGACTGGTTTCTATGCATTTCTTCATATTCTTAGGATAGAACTTTATATGTTTGCTGAAACAAGGAACCAGAAAGTTTCAAAATGCAGTAGAAATCCAGACTTTTATTTCTGCCAAGTAAATGCCAGGGAACGTAAGATTGGATTAGACCCCTGGATGTTTGTTCTCAGTGGTGACCTGCACTTTTTGCAGATTTTAGGCAGGAATGGGATCATTTCCTGGCCTTATTTTCCTGGAAATTTTTCTGAGTGGCCTGGAAGTACTGGAAATTATTTCGCTTCTTTGTGGAGGATGGGTAACCCTGATGAGCAATTCTTTTTTAATGCCAGGGTACTATTTTTGGCAGTTTACTCAAAGCCTCTTTCTATCTTGCTGTATCCATTAGGGAAAAAACTTGGCCTTTCATGAGTCAGGTTGAGCCGGGCACCGTTGCATGCCTGTAATCCCAGATGTTCAAGACACAGGCAGGAAGACTGCAAGTTTGAACCCAGCTTGGGCAACTTAGCAAGACCTTGTCTCAAAATTAAAAATAAAAAGGACTGAGGGGTAGCTCATGAGAGTGTGCTTGCCTAGCAAGTGTGATGCTCTCTCCCCCTGCTGGCTCTCCTCTTAACTTCTGCTTAAGGCTCCTTCTTCTCAGTTCCATTATATGGGCCCTGCTGCAGGATAGACCACATTATACGCTAAGTGACTTCTTACGTGTCTGTCCTGCCTGACAGTGTGTCCCCAGATAGTGGAGACCTGGCTTCTTGGTTGTTTAGCTCACTGGTGAATAATACACTAACGACAGATGAGGGGCCCATGCTGGGAAATGTAATGGGTCAGGCAGGTACATGAGCAAAAGACACAGACACTCTGTACTCACATCTCAAGTATGTAGGAATATTCTTCAGTCTCATAAGAAATAGGTTCACTGTTTCCTTAAGCTCTTTGTATGGCCCTATCAGTTACCTTTAATTCTCTACTTATTGTAGAAGTGTGGGTATGGAGAATCTTTAAGGAGCACAACACTAATTTTGTCATCAAGGTGCAAAAACATGGGTTGGTCAGACCTACGTTTATTCTTTAGGATATTTCTATTGACGAATTATTAATTTTAATTTTTATGAATTTATTATATTAATGAGTACTTAACAGGAAAAAATCACAAAATTTATTTCTGACTGGAGAGGTAAGTGTACTTAACAGGAAAAAATCACAAAATTTATTATTTATTGAATATAAAAAAGCATCAAAATTTTCAACATAGACTTTTTTTGGTGTACTAAGTCTAAAAAAGAACAACACAAATAAATTTTTATATGAAGTACAATGAAAATACCAATAACACATTACCAAAAAAATAATCTTTACTTCAGTTATTATACCTATGGCTGTCTGCACATATGACAAGAGCATGTGCGGTACACTTACTCTGACAGCACATGTGTTTTGCTTTCCTGGCCTTTTTGTAGGACATATTTGACATCTCAGTGGTCTTCCTGTATTGTCAGGAGGTTCTTACTATATTATACAGTGTATAGTTAACAGGAACATAAAATATCAATAAAATAAAATATTAAATTCTTAATACATATTGTGCATTTAGAATAGACATCAACATTTTCACATCACCTATGTACTTGCTTACAAAACCTAAAAGGTAACTCAAGCACTAAGTTCCTATATGAACTACAGTGAAAATAACAAAGAACTCTACCACAAAAATAAGTTTTGCCTCAGCTGTCACACCTAAGGCAGTCTTCACATGACAACTGCATTTTCTATGCATACATCTCACTTGCACTGATAGCATATGTGTTTAGCTTTTCTTTCCTGTGTAGCAGTTTTGTCACCTCTCTTGTCTTCCTGTTTTGTTTGGAGCTTCCTACTATATTGTGCAACATGCACGTAGCAGAGAAATAAGATATCAATAAAATAAAATATCAAATATGCAATGAATGCTTAGAGTAGACACCAACATTTTCACATCAGCTGTTTACTTGCCTAAAAAACCTAAAAGATAACAGAAAAATAAAAACCTATGTGAACTATAATGTAAACACAAACAAAAGTCTACCATAGAAATAAGCTTTGCTTCAACTGTCATACCCAAAGCAGTCTTCACATGTGACAACTGTGTGTTCCATAAATAAGTATCACTTACACTGTTAGCACATGTTTTGTTTTCCTGTACTTTCTTGTAGTACGCAGGTGACATCTTTTTTGTTTTCCTGTTGTCATAGTAGTCTTTGTGATGCTGTGCCTATGTGTTCACATAGGCACACCAGTGTGCCTTTCAGCTCACCAGTGTGCTCCATAATTTTTTTGTGTAATTCCCTGGGCAGAAACATTTTGTTTTTCTTCTGCTATAAATGATCTCTTATGAGCTCCAATCCCAATCCTTTAAGAAAATTTCTTTGTGATATTTCACACTTGTTATTTTCTTTGTAACCTAAGAAACTATACCGCACATGTTTAGGATTGAGCAAAACACAGCCATTGGCCAATGCTTTGTGTTTCAAGTGACATCACAGTTGCTGCGTAACTCATCAACAATATCTACTCTACCTTTGGTTTTGTTGTAGAATGTTTCCATCTCAGGCTTCTGTTTAGTCTAGGTTTTCCTATCAATATTTTCATCATGGAAGAAATGTTGATATCAGCAGTACCACTCTGTTTTTCTTTGCCACATATGAGGTCAATGTTACATCTTTCTGAAATACAAAGATTGTATTATATAATTCTCTGTTTTGAAATTACAACATTTCGTTTGGAATTTCTGCTCTGTTCCTGCATGCAGTACCTGTGCTGATCAGCTTGTGCTCTGTTAGCAAATGTAACATCAGTTGGAAAGTGGTAAACCAATCATTGAATGTCATGTTCCAATTAGTTTGAGTGATGGGAGCAACAAGTCTATTCACAGCACCATTTGGTTTATTACGTGAAAAAGGACCTGATGGCTGAGTTCCAAGATAAATATCTAAATTAAAAGCATAATAAGTCTTCACATCTACAAGGCACACATTTTTATGCCATATTTTGACCCATTGCTTTTCAATAAGTCTTTTACATTCCTGTGATCATCATGAGAAATCCCTGCTAAGTATAGCAGACCCACGAATGCTTTCAGTTCAGCTAGTGAAGTATCATAATAAGTACATTTTTGAATATGGCTGTTGGTGCATACAGAATGCAAGTTTTACTTACATTTTAACCTTGGTGTATTTTACACCATCTTGTAGCATTTTGTCTGTTACAATTTCCAGCATTGAATATGGCAGTACTGGCATTCTGCCCAATACCTTTCACCCCTGCCAAGATCCTCACGATATTTTCAAACCTAGTTCTGGCATTGGATGTTTCATTTGGTTGTGTGGCCATTTTGCAATATTTCAACTAGTCATATATGTCCTCACATTGCTTTTTTCTTTGTCATCTGAACTGAGGTCTGTTTTCCCCATGACTGTGTCAGTAGATTCTTGCTCCATTTCACTGTCCCAGGAACTTTGGATCACATGGCCAGTGTCAGAGTCATCATCATCATCATCATCATCATCATATACCTATACCACTCTTCTGTTATAAAAGCATGTATTTTACCGTAACGGATCATCTTCATCATCCGTGCATGAATGATCTAATGATTCACTTTTGACCTCCTCCAAAACTTGCAAATCTAGCTTTTCATGTGCCATTGTACTGAATCTTCTATCCCCCCAAATGAAAAAACTCTACTTTTTAAAGCAAATCCTGGAGTGGTATGGACCCTTTTTGATGCTCATGTAAACATATGTAAAACTGTTACACAGAGCATAAGGTAGGAAAAAATCCCTTTTTGCTACTTTTGTGGGCCAGGGATGTAGCTCAGTGCCATAAGGGCTTGCCTGGCAAGCCTAAGTTCATGAGTTTGATTCCTGGTTCTAAAATAAGATATATTGCTACTTTTGCATACATGCACACACCTTGCTATTCATCATACCAAGTGGGTAAACCCTTAGATTGCTTCCTGTATCCCTCAGGGAAAGGTACTGAGATGAACAGCTGGCTGTTTTTACGCTAAAGTACAAATTTACAGTCAAGTAAGGGATAGGACCACTGGACCCAGTTTTATGTTCCGAGGATGACAGCTGTGCTAGCACCCAAAACTGGCACCTGAGCATGGCCTCATTCCCTGGAAGATGCTAGGGAGTGTACTGGGAATGCAGGCCACAGACCTCCTCCATTACTTAGCCGAAGCTGGTTGATGCTATGGTGAATACAGAACCAGTACTGGCAGATCTCATATTTAAAGAAATGCTGGCAATCTAAAATGTTAGATGAAAGCAACAAGTTTTTAGAGGTTAGCAACCAATTATGAACATTAAATCACCATATGGGCAAGTTTGGGCCAAAAAGTTGTCAATTTGTTACTTTGGCCATGGTGCTCCCCCTATAGTACTTTTTACATTGTTCACACACCTGCCTCCCTTGTAAGATGCGAGCTTTTGGAAGGCAGGGTCTGTCGTAGTGCTAGGCACAGAAACAGATGTAGTTGCCATTGCCAGTGGGAGATGGGTGAAGTGCATGGTATGTGGTACAGTACACTGGAAAAGCTGAGGAAGAGTGTTAGAGGGTGGGGGTGGGCAGATAGTGCCCATGGGAGGCACAGTTATAGGGGATGGTGGCCTAAAGTGGGAAGGTAGTGAAAGAAGACCTATTAGACCCCATCTTGGATCTCAGGGACCTTGAACTGCAACAGTGTCTGTCTTTAAAGAGGAAATGTGGAAGCAAGTGACTGGGTTGCTGGCTGCTTTACAGTGTTTCATAGGGATCTAAGAGAACCCATCCTAACAGTAGAGGCTTTGCCC